TGTTTGTCATATATTCGCATTGGCTCACTTTCATTTGACTCACCCTTGTATTTTGATCACATAGATTTTTGTTCTTTTCTGATAAAATTTTTTGTTTCATATAAAAGGCTTGTTTTAAATATTATTTATGAGCGAAACAGTATTGAGCTGTAAAAATAGCAAAACAAACACTTCACCAATTTGCCAATACTCATTGGTAAATTTCACAGGGAACAAGCCTGAAACTGTAGACAAGCAGCAGATTAAACACCAACCAAGATTGACCATTTGATTTCTTTTTTTCATGACATTTTAAGAGTAAATGGAAAAAGACTAAGCCTAGTAAAAGCATCATTGATGATGTAGGCTGACTGTCAGAAATCTTGGTAATACGTCCCTTAAAAGTTTTGGTCTGTTAATATGCATGATTTTGTATGAAATTTTAATCTGTGTGCTCTGATAGCTAAAAGAGAATTTTTATATGTATGATTTGGGTTGTCATTTTAGGGAAATGTGTAGCAGTTATTATTGATCACTAATTTTAATATGTATTATGGCATTAGTAAGTATTTTGAAAAAAAAAAAAAAAGAGTAAGTGAAATAAAAAAAAAAATTCAACATATGCTTATCATGAATAATAATAACAACAATATTTTTTAAAATCTAATATAGACATCATACTGTAGCCCTGTTGAAAGTGGTTTTCCTTCTCCATTACATAAACAAGTTATCCGTGTACCTGAAAAAGCCATGGTATTGGAACCTGTAACTATACCACCTAATCCTTATAATCTCGTTAATTCTGAGGAAGATCGAGGTAATTATTTGATAGTTTTAATTTATTTTTTTATATTTTGTTCTCTTTTAAAAATCTGTAACATTGGTGTGATTACTATTATATTTCATACTGTAGGAGTAGGTATTAATGCACACACTGGCCAATGAATAAGGAATAGTGATGGGCAACTTCGGTACATTCTTGTACCCAGTACAAGAGCAACGGGTACAGACAAGTACCCGGTACAAAATACCCGTTACTCAAGTAACCGTACTTTGAAGTACCGGAAAACATTTCAAGACGAGTACCCAAGAAGTTTGGATAACAAGACGAAACAAGTAGATGTAAGGTTTACTGCTACCGGCATACCCTAGTAACAATTGAGTAACGAGTACCATAGTAACGGAGTACCGAAATACGCAGCTAACGATCGCCACTGAGGGAACTCTGCCACGTCATCAATGTTGATTTATCTGTAGAGTAAGATTTTGAATATCAGAAAACATGTAACTACGGAAGTGTCGAGGAGCAGACCATCATGGACACGAGGAGGCATATCACCTTTCGCAAATAAACAGATATACTGTCCTCTACAAACCGAAGTGAGCTGAACCCTCGTCGTCCTCCAGTAACGAATACCGAAAGCCGAGAAGAGACGCATATTTTCTTGCAAAGTAACGAATACAAAAGCATCGTTCGGTACAGAGTAACGAATACGAAAAGACGTTCGGACAGAAGTAACGAATACGAAAGTACCGTTTTGGTGCAGAAGTAACGAAACCGAAAGTACCGATTTCGCTTACGTAAGGGATAGATGTACAGATTTCAGTACCGTTACAACTATACCCATTCAAAATACTGGTAGATCGTACGATATCATAAGGAACCTTTGAGATTTTCATTTGAATGCGTGTTAGGGTTGAAGTATGCAAATTTTTTTTATGATGTGGGTTACATGATATTAGACTGCTGGTATAAGTAAGGTGTAAGAGTGCTTTTCACGATGAATGAAGTAAAATGGGAAAAATGACAGATCTTTCACCATTTAAAAGATGGTGAAATTCTTTCACCATTGTTTGTACCTGTTTAGTAGCGGCCTCGATTTCAAAGATAGCAAATCTCACTGATTTCTTAAAAGCAGCCATAACAAAGGTTTTAAAAATTTAGATTCAGAACCCAGAACCCTTCTGTAGAAGACGTAACTGCGGTTTGAGCACAGTTTTCCAGGAGAGGGATCGGCGGTGTCTCTGGCGAATTGTACAGCAGAACAGGGACTCTACTGTACTTCAGCTTACACAGATTGTCCACCAAGGCTCTTCCCAACAGATTTCAGCTTGAATCATGCACAGAGAATTGCGGAGGATAGAAATGCATAGTCAGGTGCCTGTGTGAAAAACCACTCATTTCTACCCAACATGCAAGAATTCGTATGAAGTGGTATCGGGAAAGAAGACACTGGAATCTGAGGATTGGAAACAGGAAATGTGGTCAGATGAATCATGCTACACCTTATTTTGCACTGATGGAAGGCGTCAAATTTGGTGAGAACCCCATGAAGCCATGAATCCATCTTACCTTAACTCGCCTGTGCAGTTTCTAATTCATTGGCCAATGTATGTATTACAAGTTTCACACAATCCTGTATCTTTTCTGTTATATGAGATCATGTGCCAAACAATTTGCTGTGTAAAGATATATGTCCCCAGATTATCTATTGACTGCTTATGTTCTCATCTCTTATAACAATGTTCTTTTCCAGAAGAAGTACTGCCAATAAAAGTTTTAAAATGTATGATTTTTTTTCTCATTTTTGGTCTATTGAAATAACTAATTTATGATAGATATATTTGCATTTAGAAAGATTTTACTATGGTAAAATACAATTTTAAATTTTTATTTTATCATACTAAATAGAATTTTTAAAATTTTACTATGGTAGTTGATGATGAAAGTGTATCTTCTTTCTGAATTATCAAGTTGGCTTAGACAGTCAAAAGTCTTTAATCAGGACTCGTGTGGACTTTGGCGATTCCGGATTATCGGTTTTTCTGGATTATAGATCATCAATTTAAATCTGGTAAGATGACATGCAGAAATTATAAAATTAAAAATATGAAACCATAATTTATGAAATAAAGAGCAATTATGATCTAAAGGGTATCAAAATTTACAAAAAAAAGCTTAATATTTATTTGTTTACTTTATTAAACATTTCTTTCAATACGCGCATGCATAAAGCATACATTACACATAGTCGAAATTAGAAAATTACAACCAGAAAACTATTTGATGACGAGGAATTTGATTTAAATACTGTCAAAGACGGAGTACATCGAGATGAAATACTACATTTAGTAAGGAATTACAAGCCGAATAAAATAAAAGATGTCTGCCCTAAAGATGAGGATAGTGTTGACAGATCAACTTTCAGTTCATAGCACGCTGGGATCCCCCCCCCCTCAGCGCAGTGCAGCCTGAAATTGATAAACAGATTTCGGAATGGTTAGAGAAACAAGGATATGCCTTTTCCATTTTTTGCAGCAATTCCACTTTTTGTTTGATGGACATTGAAACATGCTTTCACTTTGTAGATTATTTGGCAGCTCCAGAATCGGAAATTCTTTTTGACATAATCAAAAGCTTACTTTTATAAAATTGCTCTAACAGTCTTCAAAAAATAATAAGCCGGATCCAATTCAAGGATTAAGGAACAACGCAATCTGCAACATTAACTGAAATAGATAATTTTAGCTTAGCTTATACCGTCCGTTTACATCAAATGCGCATGCTTCAACACATTATGCGTTCACTTATGCGCAGAAAGTTTGTAGCTTTGAGGTCCGGATAATAGATCATTCCGGATTATGGACATCTGGATTAAAGACTTTTGACTGCATATCTTTCTGGAGGAAATAGTATGGCAATTGTCATAAAAGATAATAGAAAAAAAATTTAAATAAGGAGGAATATATATTGAACTGTTATAATAAAGTGGAGGTGTCAGATATTTTCGTTAACTGGCTTGAGATCTGAATTATTTTAATTCATACTTTGAAATAACACCATGTAGGGGAGCCTACTACAGTACCGAAAGGCCTGGGTTCGAATTCCAGGTAAGACATGGATGTTTATAAATGTATAGTGTCGGTGGGGCACGGCGGCACTCTAAATATGCGACGAGCCAAAAGTCCTTTTGTCTGGATTGGTGGATGGGGAGAGGGCTCGGAGACCCCCCGGATTTAACCCCAGGGTGCTTTCCCTCAAAATTGGGGGTGGAAACTAGGAGTAGGCTCTGGCAACCATTGTTCCATGTAATGTAGATACGACAACAACCACAACCACAAAAAAAAAAAAAAAAAAAAATATGAACAGAGTATTGAACAAAGTACTGCTCATCCAATCAGTGATATTAATTGAAATTATGAGGTGACGCTATCTTCTCATCAGGAATGTTCTTAAGGACTTTATGTAATATGACAGATTTAAGAGTTTGGTGATTTGGCAGGCGCCAACAGGTTAATATGATTTATAATAAAGAAAGGATTTCGCCAAAATTTAGGAACAGGGATGCAGTTTAGGTGAGTTCCAAGTGAACTGTTGCCACATATGTTAATTAGAAATCAAAATGGAATTAAAATTGCCTCGACTGCCACATTTCTTAGATACAGTCAAAAGTCTTTAATCCAGACTCGTCGGGACTTCGGCGATTCCGGATTATCGATTTTTCCGGATTATAGATAATCAGTTTAAATCTGGTAAGATGGCATGCAGAAATTATAAAATTAAAAATATGAACCGTAATTTATAAAAATAATGAGCAATTATGATCTAAGGTATCAAAATTAAAAAAAAAAGAGGCTTAATATTTATTTGTTTACTTTATTAAACATTTCTTCAAACGCGCGCATGCGTAAAGCATACCTTACTACCGAAATTAGAAAATTGCTACCAGAAAACTGATTTGTATTCGGATCTTATATGACGAGGAATTTGATTTAAAATCTATCAAAGATGGAGTAAATCAAGATTAATCTACATTTAGTAAGGAATTATAAGCCGAATATAAAAAACATCTGCCCTGAAGATAACGAGTGCTAACAGATCAACTTCCATTTCATTGCGCCCCGCGACGTCCCTCCCGCGCAGAGCAGCGTGAATGGATAACAGATTTCGGAACGTTAGATAAACAAAGGATATACTTTATCAATTTTTTAGCAATTCGTTTTTTTTTGATGGACATCGTATACTTTCGTTCTAGATCCTTTGGGAGCTCCAGTATCGGAAATTCTATTTGACAATCGAAAGTTCAACTTACTTTATGAATTCTCATACAGTCTGCAAAAAATAATAAGAAGGAATCCAATTCGAGATTAAGGAACAACACAATCATCAACATTAACTGAAATAGATAATTAGATAATTTGTTTATACCGGCCGTTATACATTAACGCGCACGCGAAAACGTATTCTGCGCTCGCGCAGACGCATATGTGCAGTCGTAAATGTCTTGCGCACATGCGTAAAACCCCTATGAGCATGTGTCAACGCGGCACATGCGCAGAAATATTTTATCATTGAGGTCCGGATTATGGGTGTCCGAATTAACGACTTTTGACTGTATTACGAACTCAACATATTAGCATACTATGAAATTAAAATGCTTCCTCTTCAATATGCCATCTGGGTGCTTCATCATCAGTATTTTTCTGCGTTTCTACGTCTCGGTGTTTCTACATCAGTACTTCTAAATTTTGCATATATTACACATATATATATATATAAGTTAAAAAATATTAAAATTGCACAGATATGCATTTTCAATTGTATCCAAATAATTAAAGTAGCATATATATGCACGTGTAAGATAAAAAATATGTGAATCAAAATTATAATTTAAACTAATGGTAACCCTTTAATTCTCTATCTCTGTTCTAAAAATCGTTAATAACTTCTCTCAATTGTATCATTTCTAGATCATTCGATTTTGCATGGCTTGCGCAGTGCTGATAAAATAATAATTGAGAACTGAAACTTTAAAC